TGCTGCTCCTTCTTTACTCTTTGTATTTCTGTACACTGAGTCCAGGTTTAGCTCAGCCCGAGCGGCTCAGGCTTTCTCAGAGTCCGGCCTGCAGAGGAGACAGTCGCAGTGTTGAGTTTCCTCATGACTGATGTGCTGTCGGTTATTCTGAGGCCTCCGTTCATCTCCTAATATAGAGCTTCATTTAACCAGGAAGCAACAGGCGCTTTGTTAGAGACAGTCGTCGCCAGCCGCTGAATAATGAAGGACGGGACAGTAATAAGAAAAAGATAAATGGTCTGCTGGTTTACTCCCAGGGCCTCTCCGCCCCAGCTGTTGTTCACAACACTGGACATTAGAGGACAGCGCGCCGTTTTAGAAAAGTTAATGGGTTATAGTTTGAAATATTTCTGCTGTGTGGCAATGAGAGAAGCTGAGCACTGACAAGTTCATGAGTTAAACTCCCCAACAGGCGCAAACACAATTAAAACAAGAGGTCACGCAGCTAACAGAGAACATTGCAACAACATCACATAACATCAGCTAAGTTCTGAACATGCTGTAGGAGAATTATTTGATTTGCAGTTAGTGGACGTTTAAAAAATATTCCTGCAATATTATTTATTGAGAACAATGCAAAACCTATAAATAAGCAGTAGAGGAATCTAAATTAGTACTCAATAAGTAAGTATAAAGTAACATAAAATGGAAATACTCAAGTGCAAATGCCTCAAAACTGAATTTAAGTACAACACAAATACCCACTACTGCTTTCAGCCGATGGTCTGCAGAGTCTTTTATTAAACTAAAGCTATTAAACTAAATATATATAAATGTATATATGCATATGGAAAGATTATTAAAATAAGAGAAAATAGGAAATAATTAAAATTTTATAAATGGAGACTTGCAGTTCAAAAATACAAAAGACAAATAAGTGAGACTCCCTCGCTCTCTCCTCTGCCGCCACCCGAGGTTATTAATACATGCCTTGCCCTAGGTTCCCTGCCGGTGTAATTATTGTGTCATTCACCATGTCTGGACGCGCTCTGACGACTCCTCCCTGATTAATGAGTGTGATCGTTGCAGGTGGCCACGGTTTAATTAGGATTAATTGGCTTTCACATCCAAAGTCACCTGTAGGGCGCAGCAGGTGGAGCAGGCCTGCAAGGAGGTTGCTGCAGGAGCTGGTTTGTTTGAGCAGATAATCAAGAAATGTCAAGAAACATCTGACAATCCTGCTTTTTCTAATTATAGGATTAGGGTTTGGCATTTATTTTTTAAAAGTGAGCAAGCGGGGGGTGAAGAATTATAGCGTGGTGGGCAATTTGGACCAAATCAAAAATATTCAGGACAGTGTCAGTGTGTATGTGGTATTTATTATTTTTTATTAAAATCACATTGAAAAAAGTGTTCAAAATTGGTTAAAATGTCATTAATTACAACATTTTGAAACAATAACATTTGATTAAAGACACCTAACCCAACTGATGTTAATTTCCAAAACCCAAAATCATCATCATTTTGTATAGGCCCCACTCAATCTTACAATGAGATGAATAATAATGACTCAGTATGAGATTGTTCATTCTTCACTTTGTTTAAAGTAACAGCATAATTGATAAAATCCCATTTTAGCCAGTTGTGGTGAAGCAGGGCTGGATGGAAAACAGGCTGGACAGGGGTTGCATGTTCTAATGGAGGTTTGGGAAACACTTTTCAAGGTTAGTCTGCTGTTGTGTGGGGCGAGGGAGAGAGCAGAGCTATTAACAGTAATTGGACCCAATTGCAGTGGAGTAGTGGTACATGTTATGCCCGGCCTAGGGGAAAATCTGAGCGCAGCATAAAGGAAATGTCTCCCCCCTTTTTTTTCCACTCTCAGGAATGACCAATGCCACCACCCATGCAGTCCAAAAGAAAGATGAATTTATTTACTCATCTGAGAAACAGACATCACAGCCTGTCTTCACCAGATAAACGGTCGTGTAGGTCAATTATTAAGCTGTTTTTACGACCCCTATTTAAGTTTTTAGTGACCTCTAGTAGCCTAAGACGGCAAGATGGGGAGATGATGGGTCAAACCCGCAACGTTCACACAGGAGAACGACGTTTGAGTCCCATGAGAAATCAAGTAAATGTAGATTTATTTAGATTTTTTAGCTAAGATTGCGTTACTGACTTCCATAACTGACTTCTCTACTTTAACCCAAAAGATCTTTTCCTAAACTTAACCAAGTAGTTTTGTTGCCTAAACCTAACCAAACTACAGCTCCTTATTACAATATTTTCCACGCGTTAAACGTCACAGGACTTAAGTAACATCGGGTAAGCCCGTCGCTGGACGGATGTGTGGTTGGACTTTCCAACAGCCAGTTGGTTGTTTTAGAAAATGGCCATATATGTCATTTTGGGACACTTGACAATCAGCCTGTTTGGTGGTTTAGGTATGAGGGCATGTTAAAGACAAAAATAACAAACAAAACAAATCATATCCTTCCCTACTAACTTGCCTATCAAACAAGGAACAAAAGACAGTACAGGCCACTTAGATCCCTCCCAAGAAAAACAGGAGACAACAGGATTAGCAAAAAGCCCTTCTTCCCCCTACAGGTTTCCAGGACCACACTTTACGAGTTTGTCTATCCTACACAATACTTTTTATACGTTCTATACAAAACCTGGTTCAATAACTGACAGGACTTAGCAATCACTCAGTGGCACAACACAGTCGAGCTGGGTGGCATCCACAGGTGTCCTTTCAAAGCAGGTGTCATCATTCTCTAGTCCAATCAGCTGCGTCCACCACCTGCAAACAACAAACTGGAGACACACAGGATAGCTACACCCTAAGGCAGGGAGGATAACCAGCAGAGACCTCTGACTTACGGTCATAAAAGTACAATCAGAGATGGTTAAACTATAAATGTCCATTGGCTAAACTGTCCAGTGTGTAGGTAAGGATGATGGTAAACTCAGAAAAAGGTGAGTAAACACATGTTGGAAAATATGGCTGTGTGTTTAACCTCCACTACACCTCAAATAATCATCAAATCAACTGGGTTTATGCAAAACTTTAATATTATGCCACATTACTCAAGAGCGCTCCACGTTACAAGAGCCGACTCTTTGATTTAGACCATCTGCATACATCACATCTCCACAGCCAAATCCAGCCTAATCCAAATCAGTTCTGCATTTCAGCGACATTACAATCCTACTTTTAGCTCATTTAGAGTTTGGCAGGAGTCAGTGGGCCAAGCACGCCCATACAACATGCACTTGTCCGGGGGTTTTCCAGTCCCAGATGCCTGGTTCACGATTATATTATTTGATGCCATAGACACTCAACAATTTAGATACATTGAGGCCACGATAACATAATATTGCTGTCTGACATAACTTCAGACTGTAGACCAAATAAAAAGAGGTCTGTCCTAAGGCATTTACCATTTCTAAATCTGGAAAAGTGGGAAAGACAATAATATTCCCTCAAACTACAGTATCTCTGAAATTTCTCTTTAACCAAATTACACTCATTTAGACTATTCCATGTGAGCTCCTTTTGATAACTGATGTAATAATTTTGGGATTTACAGCCAACCAAAGTTGTAAACGATCAGTTTCGGGTTCGACTGAACTTTTTCATTACTTTGATTAGAGACAAGACATTGATATAGGCTGCTTAATATAATCACATGATCGCGGGGACTGTATACGGTTATTTGAAAAGACAAAAAGTAGATAATGGCGATGCATTTGCTCCACTTGCTCAGGCGCCTACGGGTGTCATAATTATTATTGGCCATCTTGAGTTGCAGGTGTTGTTCCTGCCAGAAGCTTCCTCTCTGAATGAGTCTCAGTTACTGTAAAAATAGAAAAAAACTTGATCTCATGAAGATGCCAGTGTGTTCGAGGCAAGAGGCTGCAGGCCAAGTCTGACGGAGTATCTCAAAGGAATATCATGTTTTCCATCTGGACCTGCATCACCTCAATGAGCAACATAGCAATTTATCACTAATGGATAGAAGAGACAGATGAGAGGATGGATCTCAGTTTCATCTCTCTGTGTCCAGTACAGTGATAGGCGAGGCATCTTGCAAGTGAATGTCAACATGCGCAGTGTGACATTTTATTAACTGATCAGTGGACTCAAAACTTTAAAGAGACGATTCAAGAGAAACTGCTCTGAGATTAAAAATCCAGCAGAACTCAACTTTATGACTTTCTTAAATCCTCTGGTTCTCTGTCTTCCCCTGAGTCACATGCTTTAGATGTATATCAGTTTAATCTCTGTGTGTCCAGTACAGAGACAGGTCCAGGATGGGTTTAGCCAAGCTTAGCACAAAGACAGCAGCAGAGGGAAGCTGCCCTGAATGTCAGAGTATGCCTTTTTCAGTTAACCTGACTGATTGGACCTCTGCTTGCGTTGAAGTTTGAGAGTAAAACTTGAAATTGTGTGAGGTCACTGACTTTAACATTGCAATAAGAATGAAAAAGGTGTAGGACGTTCTGCCTGAACAGGTGCAGCTAGAGAGGGACATGTTATTCAAGCAGGCAGATAAGTGAAAACACCTGCAAGTCTGGACCATGGGTGTGAAAGGCCCTGAAGGCCTCCTACTCCTCAATGTGTTGTCAAGTCAGAGATCATAAAGACAGCTGGAAGTAACTTGCTTACACAAAGGGAAAGTACTTAGTGATGCGTCTGATGTCGACAAGACAAGTTGTAATGTAGCACGCAGGTTTGGAGCTCAGCTTTGTGTGTGCATGGCGACAGCAAGACGTCAGTGGCGTCAGTTCTCTGTCACTAGCTAAACAGGATGCGGTCAGCCACAGTACTGCTTTCTGCTAAGACACATTTTGGCAGCACTCACAGCTCAACATGTATGCAGATAGTAAAGCCCATTGAGGCAAACTTGTGGTTTGAGCTATAAAAGATTTATTCATGCTATGATGTGTTTTATTGCCCAGCCTTGCCTGCTCGCTTCTCTATGTCTTAGTTGTCTCTATTTTCTTCCCGATAGGGTGAGACGGAGGTCCCATCAGTGGCCGTCACTAAGTCATCCAAAGGGTCTGGCCTGGACGGGCTGGAAATCGAGCCTGACTCCTACGACGTCCCTGTCGACCTCTCCTCTGATGAGGAGTACCTGAGCGTGGAGGAGGCCGACCCTTCGCGAGCCGCCCGCCTCAAGAAATCAGTCGCAAAAGGCACGGAGAGCCTGAAGGCCGCCTTCTCCAAAGAGAACATGAGCAAAACCAAAGAAAATCTGGGTTCCAAGTTCCACAACCTGGGCGAGAAGGTGATGCCGCCCGAGCGGAGGGACAAGATGCACCAAGCCGGGGAGCGGCTGAAGCAGTCCGGCGAGCGGCTGAAGGAGAACATCGCCAAGAAAGCTCCGACCAAAGAGTCCTTTCGCATCAAGCTGAAGAAGGAGAGAGCCGTCGCCGAGGGCCAGGAGGGCGCAGATGCCGAGGCTAACCCCGAGCTCCACGTCCAGGCCCAGGTCACGGAGCCGGCGGTGCTCCCGGGGGTCACCTACACTGAGGTCGCCATGGAAACCAAGAGGGAGGGGCCCGTGGAGGAGGGCACCGCCACCCGGGTAGGGGAAGAAGATTACAGGAAGTAGATCAGATGTCGGATCAGACATCGCTGGCAGGAAGAGGAGGCGGGACACTTGAGAAAGCTTGTAATACCCAGGATTTAGAAAGAAGTTCTGTGATTGGTCGACAAGGATGATGGACATGTTTATTTGCAAGATTGTATTAAAACAAAAGACGTGAGATGAGTATCGGTACTGACACCAACAACTCATCAGGAAATAAATCTATTTTAGGGTGTTAAGTCAAGTAAATTTTATGTGTTGACAGTTTTTAACAATTACATAATTTAAACAACTTGAATGTGAGAATCTTTATTTCAAATGTCTAAAGTCTAGAGTCAAAATTTTAGAGGTTACAGGTTGTGATTAGTGACCAGGATCAAAGTGCAGGTGAGGTTTATTTGCACAAGATTGCTGGAAGGAACAGAAACGGTTGATAAAACTTTGAAAAGGAAGATGAATGTTGACGTAGTTCGTGTGTGTTGATCTGGATGTACATATAATGTTGTACATACTGACAAAACTGGGAAGGTGAAATTTGGTCCATGCAGGCCTCAGCTGGTCTCTGAGGATCCTGTCGAAAAAATAAAATGGATTGAACATCAGACTGGTTTCTGTACACAAAATAAGAGGAAGGAGATGAAGTTAGAGTGAAGTTTAAAGCATCAGTGATCGCTTAGATAAACATTAAAGCTGCACAACACAAAGAGATTCACATTTTGGGATTTAAATGAGGCAACATCAGTATATTGTGATGATTCGTGCTGCCTTCATTTTATGTGGGATTAACACTGGATGAAAAGTTTGTGGGGTAAAATATGGATAATGTGTATTTTTCATGATGCAGCTAGCTAGCTAAGACAAGGGAAGCTTACTTGTAAAGCAACTTTCAACAGCAAGGCAATTTAGAGTGCTTTACATAGGACATTAAGCATAAAGACAAGGTAGAAAAGAAACACAAGAAAATATAAAAAGACTTATGATTTTAAATGAAATAGAAGATAGAAATTAGATAACATAGAATAAAACAGATTAACAACCATAACTAAACATGAGTAAATGGTCCAGCGTTTAATTTAATAGTGTCAAACTGAAAAATCTTTAGCCTTGTTTTAAAAGATCTAAAAGATGACATAAGTTTTGACCAGTATCCGCTTGTCCAGCTGGTGGTAACAGCTGTCAGTGAACATGAGCAATGCAGACGGAGATTCAGAGGTTTGTCCAAATGTCAATAAAAACTGAACTTAAAGGTTAGCAATGGGGAAATAAGGAAACTTTGCAATAAAGTAAATGCTGGAAATGAGTTTCTCTTAACCTGATAAACGTTTAGATTTCCCCAGCAGTGTCGGTAAATTTTGACAATCCTTTAATGTCATATATATATATTTTATATCATCACGTTCCAGCTCTACAATTAAGTTATACAGTGTTTCCACTGAGTGAAATATCCAACGTCAAGACTGCGTGTCTGCTGTAAAATTCAGCCTGACACATTTGGTATCTTTGGAAACTGTTGATTTAAATAAAGTTATGTGGGTTTGATTAAAGCCAATCAACATTCACTTAATAGAATTTTTACCCAGCGTACCTTTAAGTTTGATTGAACAGCACAGAAGCTGGTCATAAAACTAATAAAACGTTGCATGAACTTTGTAGCAACACAGTCCCTTATTAGAAGTTGATGCAAAGCTTTTCTTGATTGTCGTATTTTAAAAATTAGACTGTTACTCTTCTGAAAGTGAATGTAGTGGATTTAAGGCGCTCTGAGACAAGGTGTTGGCGGCTTCAAAGCTTTTTGAGCTCTGCTGAATTTTGGCATATGACTGTTTTAATTTTTTTTTCTGTTTTGCTGCTTGATATTCATAGTTTCTTTTGAAGTTCAGTGAGCATACTGACTTTATTCTCCTAGAGCGATTAGCGTGGTCACAGCTTTCATCGAGATGATAGGATTTTCAGTCATCAGATGTTCTTCATATTTTCTGTAGAAGCTTAGCTCATATAGTGCTGTCATTGTGTATTAGCACACTTTCTGTATAGCTTTAAACTTATGTTTCTGTATTGCTGGTGTGTGTTGATGGTGACTTTGATGCAGTAGATTGATCGCATTTGGTTTGAGTGTTTTTATCAAGGTTTCAGCTCATATTTTACTTTTTCATTTTTGATTACAGCTCAGTTTCCCTATTATGTTGTGTTGTCATTTTTACAATCATCTCAATCCAGTTTTATTGCTTTACATTGAAAAAAACTGCAGATTGAGGACCTGTGTGTTGTTGTTTTGGCCAGACAATAAACTTTGTTTTGTTTTTGTATAAATAAAGTTCTCGTGAAACCTGTATAAACTGGTTTGCAGGATAAAACAACACACATACACAAAAAAAACATGTACCTGCTGTTGATGGTGGCTTTTTAGGTGATAGAGTAAAATTATTATTATTAGTATTGACATAAAAATTCATATGAAGATTTACTTATACATTCATAATGAAAAAAACAACACTACAATACATGTAGGAGACATTTTGGAGCATTAGAAACAGCAACATTTTGGTCCAAAATCAGAATCAGAATCAGAATCAGCTTTATTGCCAGGTATGTGTACCATATAAGGATTGTGACTCTGGATTGTTGCTCACGACGGGCTTACTTATAAAATAATACAATAAGACAATAATAATCAAATACAGGCTACAGTATTGAGAACACATATATATACACTATGAACAAAAACAGACAGACTGAGACAATAATGCAATAAGCAGAGTGCAAAGGATGCAGGAGAAAATGATTATGTACATGACGGAGGTGGATGTGATATACAGGTGCACATACAAGCATACATTACATTGTGATGAGGGCAAAGAATGCTGGAATAAATAAGTATTATGTGCAGGTGTTAGGTACATGAGGTAGGTGGATTTGGTATACAGTATTTACAATATACAAAATGAACAGTATGAACAGCTCTGAAATAGAGAATGATGAATAAATAGTAGGTGATAGCCAGTAAACAGGTGGCAGAGTTACTGGGTTGTTGCACAGGAATCGTTCCTGACACTGTGAGTCAGAGTCAGCTGTTCATCAGAGTGATGGCTTGTGGGAAGAAACTGTTCCTGAGTCTGTTGGTTTTGGCGTACAGCGCTCTGTAGCACCTACCAGAGGGGAGAAGCTGGAACACATTGTGTCCGGGGTGAGATGGATCTGCAGTGTTTCCTGCCCGTTTCCTGACTCTGGAAATGTATAAGTCCTGAATGGACATGATTTTTTCTGCAGTCCTGACTGTCCGTTGTAGTCTGCTCCTGTCCTTTTTGGTGGCAGATCCAAACCAGACAGTGATGGAGGTGCAGAGAACAGACTGGATGATGGCTGTGGAGAACTGGATCAACAGGTCCTTAGGCAGGTACATCCTCTGCTGGGCCTTCTTGATGATGGTGTCAGTGTTGGGCTCCCACTTCAGGTCCTGGGATATAGTGGACCCCAGAAACCTGAAGGATTCCACAGCAGACACAGGGCTGTTGAGTATGGTGATGGGGGGCAGAGTGGGGGGGGCTCCTGCTGAAGTCCACGGTCATCTCCACAGTTTTGAGCGTGTTAAGCTCCAGGTTGTTCTGACCGCACCAGAGAGCCAGCTGATCAACCTCCCGTCTGTAGGCCGACTCATCACCGTCCCGGAAGAGGCTGACTCCTGTCAGTCAGTATGTCTGTGATCCACTGACAGGTGGAGGCTGGCACAGTGAGCTGGGTGAGTTTGGTGCTGAGGATGTCCGGGATGATGGTGTTGAACGCCGAGCAGAAGTCCACGAACAGGATCCTTGTCCCTGGAGAGTCAAGGTGTTGCAGGATGTAATACAGTGCCTAGTTGACTGCATCATCCACTGACCTGTTAGCCCTGTAGGCAAACTGCAGGGGGTCCAGCAAGGGGCCTGTAATGTCCTTCAGGTGGGCCAACACCAGTCTTTCAAAGGACTTCATGACTACAGATGTCAGGGCGACAGACCTGTAGTCATTTAATCAGGAGATAGAGGGTTTTTGGGGAACAGGATGATTGTCTCTCCACACTGACGCAGAGCCGCTGGCTGCAAAGCTGTTATTTAGCTTATCAGCGTAGCACCTCTTTGCTGCTTTGACCTCTTTAGTCAGTGTGTTCCTGGCCTGGTTATACAGGGCTCTGTTCCCACTTCTGAAGGCCTTCTCTTTGGTCTGACGAGTTTCGCTGTGGACCAGGGTTTTTGGTTGTTGTATGTGCGGAAGGTTTTAGTCGGCACACACATGTCCTCACAAAAGCTGATGTAAGATGTCACAGTGTCAGTTAGTTTGTCCAGGTCAGTGGCTGCAGCCTCAAAAACACTCCAGTCAGTACAATCAAAGCAGTCAAAGTAAAATCAGATAATTTCCATGGAGTCATTAAGATAAGGGGATTTTAATATGGCCGAGATGTGTTAAACGACTTGCATATCCAAAATGCTGCAAGTGCATTTACGGAAAACACAAGGAGGTGAGCAACAAAGGATGTTGACAATGAAACGGGCTGACTATTGTTGCCAGGGGACGATGATTACCTACACATGTGGAAAAGGAAAGTTCTTGCCTGTTTGACAAGTGGAACATGTTGATTGAAAATTGAAACAGTACACGCTCCGCAGACATTTTAAAGATTGTGTAAAACATATGAAAAATATCTCATCAGTACTTCAGTGCATATAACCAGCTCACCAGCCCTTTCCTGTTGTCTGTTTGTATGTTGTCAGTGTTGTGCACTTGTGTTCCAGCTGCACCTGTTTTCTGCCTGATGTCTGCTACGTGTTTTGACCTGCTGTCTGTTTATGACCTGCCTCGCTCCTCTGGATTTGTTTGCTCTACTGGACTGCCTTCTTGCGCCTGACTGCAAGCCTGTACATTCGAACAAGTCCTTTTCCTTGACTTCGTTCTGCCTCAATGTTTGAATTAGTTTCCGGTCCCATTGCACACTGAAAAGGAGGAAAATATTCTGAGTTATACATATTAAAATTCCCATTCCTTGTATGACAAAATGTATCCTGTTGAAAATAACATCTTACTTGATTAGGCTAGTTAAACTTATAGAATACAGTAGATGTCTGTGAAGAGTCTTGGTCATCCAGGTCAAAGTTATTCAAGGAGTGATACCTGCTGTTACAGTTACTATTATCAGTCTTATGATTATCATTTGGGCCCGAGCATGAAACATGCGAGGAACCTCGCACACATGTCAGGCGTGGCGAAAAATTACGTATTTTAAGGGTCTTGCACATGGGCATGGCAAAATAGCTCCATGGCGCCACCTACAAAGTTGGAAAAAATTTACACCTAGTTTAACCTACATGAACAAAATTTTTTGGGGACATGTATCATGTCAAGACACACAAAAAAGCCTCTAGAACCCATACCCTAAACTCAAAAGGAAGTCGCCATTTTGAATTGAAAATGCAATTTTAACCCATTTTTCACCATTTACAGGGTGCTCCTTTAACAAACTCCTCCTACAGAATTAATCCGATCGACTTCAAATTTCTGCTGTGCCTTCTAAAGGCAAAACAAAACTTTTGTGGTAAATGTATCATCCCCAAACACACAAAAAAGCCTCTTGGA